AGAGACGGGGTTTCACCATGTTGACCAGGATGGTCTCGATCTCTTGACCTCATGATCCACCCGCCTCGGCCTCCCAAAGTGCTGGGATTACAGGCTTGAGCCACCGCGCCCGGCCCGAAACTCCATTTCTATAAAGAATACAAAAATCAGCCAGGCATGGTGGTTCATGCCTCTAGTCTCAGCTAATTGGGAAGCTAAGGCTGAAGAATTGCTTGAGCCTGGGAAACTGAGGTTGCAGTAAGCCAAGATTGTGCCACTGCACTCCAGCCTAGGAGTCAGAGTTAGACCCAGTCTCAAAAATAAATAAATAAAAAGTAAAAATAAAGTATTCCCAATTTCAATGGACTAATTTCTGCATACAAATCATCTGAAAAAAATGTTTAAAAATAATGTTTCATTGGAAGCATAGGAGTAAAATAATTTTAAAAATTTCCAAATAAAAACAAAAAGAATACCAGTAACGTCTGTGTGTCTCTGACTATAAAAACGATGTGAAAGGCTAGACGCAGTGGCTCACACTGGTAATCCCAGCACTTTGGGAGGCTGAGGAAGGCAGATCATCTGAGGTCGGGAGTTCAAGACCAGTCTGCCCAACATGAAGAAATCCTGTCTCTACTAAAAACACAAAATTATCCAGGTGTAGTGGCGCATATCTGTAGTCCCAGCTATTCAGGAGGCTGAGGCAGGAAAATTGCTTGAACCTGGAAGGCGGAGATTTCGGTGAGCTGAGATCTCACCACTGCACTCCAGCCTGGGTAACAAGAAGGAAACTCTACCTCAAAAAAAAAAAAACAAAAAAAAACCATGTGAAGAAAATATTTCACATTTTCAGCTGGGCACAGTGGCACACACCTGTAGTCCAAGCTACTCTTGAGGACTGCTTGAGCTCAGGAGTTTGAGGCTGCAGTGGGCAATAAGCCATGAAGCCATGATCATGCCACTGCACTCCAGCCTGAGTGACAAAACATGAGCTTTTTTTCTCCTTTTGTTCTGAGATGGCGTTTAGCTCTTGTTGCCCGGGCTGGAGTGCAATGGCTCGATCTTAGCTTACCACAACCTCCGCCTCCCGGGTTCAAGTGATTCTCCTGCCTCAGCCTCCTGAGTTAGCTGGGATTACAGCCACGTGCCACCACACCTGACTAATTTTGTATTTTTAGTAGAGATGGGGTTTCTACAGGTTGGTCAGGCTGGTCTCAAACTCCTGACCTCAGGTGACTGGCCCACCTCAGCCTCCCAAATTGCTGGGATTACAGGTGTGAGGCACCGGGCCCAGTAATTTTTTTTTTATAGAGATGGAGTTTCACCATGTTGGCCAGGCTGGTCTCGAACTCCTGACCTCAGGTGATCCACCCGCCTCGGCCTCCCAAAGTGCTGAGATTACAGGCATGAATCACCATGCCCAGCCAATTTTGGCTCGATGTCTACTCACTACAGCCTCCATTCAAGCAATTCTCCTGCCTCAGACTCCCAAGTAGCTGGGATTACAGGGCATGCGCTACCATGCCCGGTTAATTTTGTATTTTCAGTAGAGACGGGGTTTTTCCACGTTGGTCAGGCTAGTCTCGAACTCCCAACCTCAGGTGATCTGCCTGTGTCGGCCTCCCAAATTGCTGGGATTATAGGCATGAGACACTGTGCCTGGTCTGTAATAAACATCTTTATGCTTGAATCGCTACAGTATTATGGATTTTTCTTGAAAGAGATTCCTTAAAAAGAACTATTTTTATTTTTATTTATTTTTTATTTCTTCTTTAAAATTTTATTCTTTTTTTTCCCTCCTAAAAATAATTAAATAGCCAGGCGAGGTGGCTCATCCCTGAAATCCCAGTACTTTGGGAGGCCAAGGTGGGTGGATCAGGAGTTCAACACCAGCCTGGCCAACATGGTGAAACCCCGTCTCTACTAAAAAATACAAAAATTGGCCAGGTGTGGTAGCGTGCACCTATAATCCCAGCTACTTGGGAGACTGAGGCAGGAGAATTGCTTCAACCTGGGAGGCAGAGGTTGCAGTGAGCCAAGATTGCACCACTGCACTCCAGCCTAGGTACAGAGCTAGACTCTGTCTCAAAACAAAACAAAATAATATTTCTTCTCTCCCAGGATTTTTAAGAACAAGTTGATTAAAGTCAAGTAATGCAAGGATTGCTCAAGCCAATTCTTCAGACAGAATAAAAATGTCAACCTAAAGAGAAAAACCCAGATTCTACCATGATTAAGTACACCGAAGTTTGTTGAAAGGTATGTGCTTGACAGTAGAGCTTACCTGAGCATGATCCCACCCAGACGAATAGCTCTCTTCCAGTCCTTCAGAGTGGACTTGCCAGCCAGATGAACAAAATGCTTGGGACTGATCAACTGATCATTGAACTAAAAGGAAAAAGAAAATTCCAAACAGTCTAATGTCAACTTGGGCAGGCCAAGCGGGGAAATAATAAAATGATAACCCTACATAGTTTATATAAAAAATACCTAGATGACATCCTAAGCCTTGCATTATCCAACTTCCTGTACTATTGTGTTAGAGAAGAGGATCCTTCTCTGAGCACAGTCTCCATTCCTGGTACAAAGCCACAGAATACATGTGGAGGATCACAGATAAATATATTAATAACTATCTAAAATCCATTTATGCATAAAATCAGATGGTTGGGTCTAGTGAGGCAAACAAAGGCTGTTCAAATAAACTGAAGTAATCTATCCAGCCTCAATGAAGACAGAATGAGCAATTTTATACATA